GCCGAGAGGTGGGCCCGTGCAATGCCTCCGCTCGCACTGCGACGCTCGGACACGGGAGGAGCTGCAGTGTAGGAAATGTGCTGATGAGCTTGGGGTGATGAACTCTCTGCTGCTCCTGCCGCCCCTCAAACCTGGTAAGAGCCTGAAGGAAACTCACACGTGAGGAAACCTGGCACTGAACACACCCACCCCTTCCCCTGCCAAATCTGCATTTAAAGGAGCGCGGCTGCACGCTGTAACGCGTGGTGAATGCGAGAAGGGCCACAACACCGGCACAGCACTTTGCCATGACCACGGCAAAGCACTGCTGCAGCCTATAGGATTGGTTGCTGAAAAAAATGCACCGTCTCGGCTTGCCCGAAAGCTACGTGTGTTCAGAACCCAGGAACTAGACGAGCCATGTTTCCAGAAAGCAGTTAGAGGGATGTAGTTTTCATCCCTCCTGTAGTCGCAGTGCTGATAAGTAATGTCTGTTCTATATGCTGTAATGAAGTAAAAAAGGATGATTTTTCAAATATAAATTTGTAATAATATATGCATATATTCATATGCTTTCATATTTTCATATTTATTTTTAATAAATACACTTCCATATATTTTTAAATGCAGGATCCAAGCTGTAAACTCCTCTCTGCCACTGATCTCTCAAATAGCTTAAAAGTTGTATCACTTTTCTACACTCTGCTATTAAAATGTGGCACTATCATGACTATCAATATCTACCAAAATGCAGGTAATTTTCTACATTATGATGATGTTAAATTATAGATGATAGGTACACGCATGACAACAATGAATACAACAGAGAAGTCTTTACTTGTGATGAAATTAAACCTTGAGAATAGAACTAGTAATTTTTGCTCCATTGTTTTTGACAAACTAAGTAATGGTGAAAAAAGTTTGCAGACATCAGAAAGCACCAGCAGTTCAAAACATACATCACTTCAAAAAAATATTTTCTGGGTACTAACACAATGATCTACAAAACTAAATTTTAGTACCCTCATTTTTTAAGCAAGAAGAAAAATTGCTGTTTTATTGCTGCCCACTGTTTCAAAGAGCGGCACTTTAGGTACAGGCAACTGATGTTACATATGTTCCTATTAACTAACTAGAGAAAAACAGTTTCCAAATTGTTATAATTAAAGCTATAAACTCACTAGGAATATTCACCATGTGAAACTGCTCCCTGACTATGGGGCAGAGTAGCACATATGTTAAAGGGAAGCTTTTAACAATATTCTTCCATTTAACTTTTTCTTTGAGAAACAGAAAGTA